GGCAACAGAAATACAGACATGGACATTAACATTAGCTGTTGGAGGTTAGATTGAATTCTAGCTTTGGGCATTGTGTATATAGGATTTATCAGATATAATGACTAGGATTCTTGGCACTGTTTCTGCTTATTCATTTTCCCTTAAAGTATATTCTCCCTGGCATGAGATCTGAAGTCTGAGTATCTGTGAAAGTGGGTGATATTTCCCACCTGCTTTAAGATGTTCTTTATGTTTCTTAAGTTTTTGATAGAAAGCTTCGAACTGCCACAAGCTGCGTCCCACTGGTGGACATTACAATAAATCTCTAAAACTGAGGCTCACAGCACTTTTGGCATTACTGCTTTTGGTACTCTAAGGAAAGGACTGTTTGGATTTGGTAACTACTCATCTGCAGCTCCTATCAATTGTAATTGCTTGCTGGGAGCAGCGAATGGCAGAGGAATAATGGAGAAGAAAGCAGAGACTGTTACCATAGTGAGATAATTGTACTCTGAAGCAGTGCCCAGGTTCAGCATCTTTTTCTGCTCTGTATTCATCCCCATTAGCATGCAGTAGAAGATGTGATAGTTCCTCTCCTCTGGAGCCTAAAAGAAAAAAAAATAGGCCAATGGACGGATTTGTCAGCATAGGCTTGTAACACAGGAGCAGGCAGAATGGACATCTGCCAGTGCCCTCACCTGCCGGCAAACCCGGGACTTCTCAAGAAGAAACTGTTCTATCCGGGCTCCCTCTATCACACCATTTTGATTGAAGTGGATATCAATGTATTTCCCGAAGCGGCTTGAGTTGTCATTTCGAATTGTCTTGGCATTTCCAAAAGCTGATGGGCAACAGAGATAGTATCTTGATTATTGCATTTAATGAACATCAAGTCTTTTTTTTATGCCGTTCTTTTTTTGCTGCTAGTATTTTACATGTTGTGTTCCAAATGGAGTGCTGACAAGCACTGAAGAATGTCTAGTCTCAAGCTGCCTCCTAAAGAGAGAGGTAGGCCTACTGTGCATCCAGATAATTGGGTCCTAAAAGACATATTCAAATGATCCACGTGCAGCCTATATCTGGCCAGCCAAGAAAGCTGGGAAAGTCTGAAGACCTCCAGAAGGACTTACTGGGAACACACTTGATCCTTTTACAGAGAAAGATGGGTGTCTCAGGGAGCTCCCCTATAGATACATTCATGCTTGGCCAGTCACTTCGCCACTATCTAGTGCAAGGGGTCTTTACCTTGGGCTCTGCATTCCCGAGAACTCTTGTGCTCCTGACAGTTGCAGGTTACATATTGTAGTGGCACCTCCTCCTGCAGTGTGGGAGCTGCTGTGGACTTCATGGGGCCGTGGCAGAAAGTATAGAGAACTTCTACCCTGCATCACCAGTGTTTCAGGGGTTTTAGCAGTTATGCAAATACAATGGTTCAAAGATCTGTTTCTGAATTTTTTATCCTGCTACAAAAATCTGGAGATAAGGGTGGTAAAACAGGCATGTTTGCTAAATAACCCACCTTCTAGAATGGGGTTGGCCTCTAGGATTTGCTGCTCTATCCAGGAATGCTGGCCACTGACAGCTGCCAAAAACTGTAGTATTAGCTTTGTGCTTTCAGTCTTCCCAGCTCCAGATTCTCCACTGCAGTAAGAAACAAGATCATTACAGGTTTCCTTTCTTCTTTTTTGGTTAGGGTGGCAAAATGGCAGACCAAGTTAAAAAGAAATCCCACTTATATTTACCCTGTGAATGGCAGATCTGACTGTCTTTGATGGAGGGCTGGAGGATTTTAGTCTTTCATCATCTTATCTGCTAAGATTTAAGTTGGTTTTTAGATTTATGCTGAGGACTACATTCTCCCACTGATTAAAAATAAGCAAATCCATGGAAGACATTCTGAACCAGTGCAAATTAAACGACCACTTCTTTAACTCATTACCAGATTTTCAGTGCTAATCTTAGCACATCAACTGAGATGCCTCAGCTATAATCAGACATTATTGCAATGAGACTATCTAGTTCTTCACACTGATGATTAACAGAAAATGGATACATGTTATGTGTTTATAGGATGAAGAAAGCTTCCCTCCATCTTCAGGTTAGCAGAGGTTGTTCCTCTCCAGGAAATCTCAATTCTCAGAAAGTACATATAACATAGGTATCATGTCCCCAAGGTAAAAGATAGCCTTACATCACACAGGCTCATATTTTATGTTTCTATATGTAGTGACCATGTGCAGAATGTATCACCACTTTGAAAGATTCTGGGGGAAAACAATGGACTTCAGAAATCCCTTTCTTATGTTCTACCTTTTGCAGCCCTAACTGAAAATGAAGTAGCAGGGGAGAAAATATTTCCTTCCTGTTGTCTCTAGTCTTATCTGCACCCTTCCATTTGGAAGATCTCTGTGTCCACAAAGGCACCCCAAAAACATGCCAGACTTGGTTTCTGCTACTCATCCTCTCTGAGTCCAGTCACCTGATCACACAGCACTGGTCTCTCTTATTCCTCTTCATATTGAAATAGCAGTTGTCTGCAATGGCGAAGACATGAGGTGGTAGCTCTCCAATCCTCTTGTTACAGTACAGTCTGATCTGATCGACTGTGTAAAGGGGCAGCAGCTGGTATGGATTCACTGCTACCAAGATTGATCCTGTGTAAGTCTGGAAAAAAGTTATGAGCATTACCTCTAGCAGCAGACCTGCAAACAAGAACACAACCAAAGCCACTTGCAGTATATATCTAAACAGAGGCAGGAGGGAAGCCTGGGAGATCCATCACAGCACTTAGGTGAGGCTGAGCGCCTTGTTCCTCACCATAAGGTGCCATTAAATATCCCAGGATATGGAGGGCTTTGCAAAGGGAAGAATGCTAGCTATAATCTCCTTGCCAAAGGAGTTCAGTTCACTGTCTCAAACTAAAGCATAAGAAAGTCCAATTTGACCTGGCATTTTTGTGTGTTATCGTAAGCTGTTTTGTAGTATTTTGTTAAGCTGCTTTTGTGTTCTAGTGCAGATGTAGCTAATGGGCAAAGTTATGGTTGTGTTATTCATATGGCCATTTAGTAACATTTATAAACACCACCACCATTGAAATGAAGGAGGCTGTTGAAGGCTGTGGAAATGCAAGGCAATAATATTGTTCAAGAACTTCATAAGACAACTGCAGACTGCTAGAGTCTAATATAACAGGGTCTATACACACATCTTGGTAGTTATAACTGCAGCATCTATAAAATCAGTCCTAGTTTATACTAAACATCACCACATCTGTGTTGTAAGAGGCTCCTGTAGTATATGTAACATGGGAGGCAAAGCATGGAAAAACCTGAATATTATTATCATATTACAAACTGAAAACCAAGGAGCAAAGAAACTAAAAATGCCAAATTGCTCAGTCACAGATAAAACCTGTAATGGAAAAGAAATTAAACCAGGTGTCCTAAAAATCCAGATTTATTCTTAATCTATTTTATTACTTCAAAATCAAGTAAACATTGATTTGGACTGGAGGACAATCCAAATCATGTCACTGTGTACTAGTTAGATTGATCCTGTGTCACAGTTTCAGGTAATAGAAGCACTAAGCTGTAACACGGGCTGGATTTAGCTAGCTATCAGTCACTGGTGGAAATGGTCACTCTAGGAGAAAGTAAGCAGGGTCACTACCTAAGCGTCTTTCTGTGATTTCAGAGACTGCTATGAGCTCTCTTCTTAACAGCCAGAGTACTCAAATGAAAGAAGAGAAAAACTACATTGTGTCTCCCTGGCACCCTCAATCAGTAAATGAAGCGGAGGGCCCCATGTATGGAGGGCTTGCAGGCTGCTCAGGTCACTCTGCTAAACATGTAGTAGAGGTCATGCCCGAAAGTACTATGCCTGGTGACCTTGGCACTCACATAGATTTTGTGCTCGTGGTGGCGAATGAGGAGGTTGTGCACCATGCCTGCTTCATGGAGATCGCCGAGGCGGATCATGTCTTCCACCCCCTGGACAGATGAGGGGTGCATCAGGCGCACCATGTGCATGTTCCGAGCTGTGATCCAGTGTTCCTGAAAAGGCAAGGCGTCAGCTTTAATGTGTTATGCTGTTGCTCAGAGAGAGCCATGTTAGACCAGAGCGTGCTTCAGTATAACCCACGCTTAAACCAGCATATTCTAACAAAGATTTGACTGAACTACAGAAATGAACTGGTTTGCTGCTCTCCAGGACCAGATTATTTAAAACACTGGAGGAAGTCATTCAGGTAGGTTCTGGACATCAGCAAATTTAGCATTGTACAGAGAGCAGCTCTGTTAGGTCATCACAGCCACAACATTGTATGAGGTAGGGATCAAATCCCAACTGACTTTAGTGGAACCATGATTTCACCTAAAGCTTCACCAAATCCAGGGATTGGAGCCTGTCCATTTTCTTTTCTTGATTATGTAGATATAACCTCTAGCACAGGAAGCTCTAAATCTTCATAGTGCTGGGACCTGGGGATACTAGGCTATCACCCTATACTTGCCTTATTTTTATATTCTTTCTTTCAGTATTTCCTACCAGACATTATTCAAGTCAGACCATTTGGCTAGATGGAGCTTTGGTTTACCCAATAGGGCCATTCTTTTGTACTTTGTCCTTTTAAATTTTATGTTCATCTTTTACAGAAAGTTATAGCGTAGCCCACCTTGCCTTCGTCATCCTCCAGCAAGATCCGTCCTGAGTCAGAGTCCTTCACGACTGCCCCAATAGGGACATTAAATTCACTGTTTGGTTGAGTGTCCAGCCACACATGATCACCCTGGGGAGAAGAACAGCTACTGTCAAGTACAGTGACATACTTGATGCCATGTAGCTCACAGGCATAAATCTCTTGGTCTTAATTTTTTAGTCATTTGATTTCTTTAGCAGTGTTTAACTGGATAAGTTCTTACTGCTCGCAGGCAGCACAGGTTATAGTATTGTGACCTCTGAGTTTTACTCCCAGCTCCACAGCTGACCTGGAACATGACTTTGGGCAAGTCATCAAACCCAGCTGTCTCACAAGAGGAGATGAGGCAACACCTTTCACAAGGACAGCAATTACTCAGCTCCGCTACCTCCCAGAGACTGGTGGGAGGCACAGTGAATGCTGGTAAAGTGCCTTGGCAGCCTCACACTAGCTATGGTATTCTTTCAAAAGAGATGCTTGAAAACATAGACATTACCAGAAAAAAGAAAAATAAGCAGATGTGCAGACTAGATGCCTGCAAATGTAAAGGGCTCTGTCACAAGAGCTTTTTTCTTTCTGCTACAGCTGAAATCACTTAGAAATGTGAGTGCATCCATGATCTCTCTTCGGGGAAAAAAAGCATTCGTTATTCAGTCCAGTTCCTCTCTTCACATTTGTAGAGGCATGGTAACTTCCTGCCTCTCTGCAGAGCAAGCAAGCAACTGCTCTGCTGTCACTGGAGGAAAGGTATGAGCTACAGCTGCCCTTTCCTAGGAATGAGCACTGTCGGTGTCACCTGCACTACTGTCCTGGCTATACTCCCCAACTCCAAGCCCCCAGGAATACATTCTCTTGCTCCAGGCACTACTACAGTTTTAAACAGAAAGCTTTACTGTAATGGCTGGAATGAAAATTGAACAAAGCTGTAGGTCAGATCTTCAGTGGGTAGTTCATACTTACATGTGCTGAGGAACCAGCTTTCTAGGTGAGTGTCTTGTCTTATACAACGTTTGTTATGTACATTTACTGTCGAAGTTTCAAGTTTTTTACTGAAAAAATATTTCTTTTTCCTCTCAAAATATTTTATGGGTTTATGTTTAAAACCAAGCAACTGTAGTGTAAAGCATCTACAAACATTGCACAAGTTTATGAAGAAAGTTACAGACTAACAGCTCTCATTTGCATTGAATAAAACTCCAGAGGTCATCTATGTAGTTTCAGTGCCGCACCTTGTGACAGAGGTCACCAGCTCAGCATGAGCACAGCCAGGCTAGGCAAGAAACCTCTGCATCTCTAGTTTAGATTGATATTATCTTATACCTTGTTGATTCTGGCTAATTTCTACTTTCTTTCCGAGATGGACCATGATGTTAAGGTAATTTTCTCCTCTTTGGGCCTCAGGCTAGTCAATGAATCACAGCAAAGAACAGGGCTTACCTTTCTGAAAACCACCATTATGTTTCAGATCACTGTATGTAACCTGCAATGCCAAGAAGAACATAACATTAGGCCAGAAAAGGGCTCAGGCTTTGGTCAGAACAGACAGGGCAGTGGAGATGTTTTCTTGCAAAATTACCAGTAAAATTCCTTAAAATAATTATGTTTACAGATTTCATTAAAGCAAAAGAGATCATAATAAGCTACACAATGAAGCCATCTACCAAAAGCAAAGATCTGCAGCACTAGGGTGGTGGGCTACTCTGAGTTCTACCACATAACCCTGGAGATGCTCTCAACCCCGAAGAAGTCACTGTGCACATTTTCATACCAAAAAGTTCACTCAATCAAATGCTAAGCACATTTATTGGCTGATCTTCAAGTTTGGCTCACAAATAAAAAGACCCCATGATGCAATGTAATTCAACGCACAGTAGAGTTACCTTTGGCTGGTCCGTTGACGCAGCACTTCAGTTCCTACAAGTGGCTAGCCCAGTGACACAGGTTGAATTCATATTCTCCTGAGATGCTGAGTTCCCTCAGATTCTCACAGCTTGAAGCTACCACCATATAGAAACTGAGGTCTAGAGTTCACCTTTCTTGGCTGGAATGACAGAACATCCCTGGTGAAGATGAGAGACACCTGCTCCGATTTTATCTTTATGCTTAAATGCAAATTTCTATTTTCTCATAGCCTTTTGAGAAGTTATTTTATTCTGGCCCTAAATTATGCTTGTCTAGGTTTTGGGCAGGTTCTCTGGAAAGTTTGAGCAAAACATGAAAACCAGAAATTAATTGAGTTGAAGGTTCCATTTGCTACCTATGCTACACAGATAATCATCAACATTCCAGTTTGCAGTGCCATTAAAATTAGTGATTAGTGGGATACTTCACCAGTAATTTCACTGAAATCATTGAGATTTCTTCTATTATGCGTAAAGGCTTTAAAATATTATGTTTAAAATTTCTGATGGCTATTTACAATTCTGTGTAATATGGAAGGTATATCTTTTTGTGAGAGGTACCCAGATTTCATTAGTTTTCATATTGAATAATTTAAATAATTTTATGGTTTGTCGTAATTTTATGGTGGAGCTATACAAGTTTCTGAGGTTTAGAAATTTGCAACTAAATTACCAGACAAATGTTTCAAGTTACAACTTTAGTTTTGGAAGTTCACACTCTTGAAAAATGAAGATTACCAATACAACAACCTCAAGGTGAAGTTTGGGGATACCACTGTATTCTCCCTTTTGTTTTAATAAACTTCAATGTTAGAAGAAAATGCTGCAGTAAGAGAATTAGGGCTCATTTTATCACTTTCTTTCCTATAGCTGCCCACTTTTTTTTATCCATGTTATTTGGGAAGGCACAAACAGCTTCCATTAATCATGGTCTTATTAAAAATCAATGGGTGCATAACCAACCTTTTCTTCAGACTAAATGGAAGGAGCAATTATACTCCTGCATGCAAGACACTGCCACTATTATGGGCTACACCAATGTCCTAACCATAAGGAGGGCTGTTAGGGTAGCAAAATGGTAACTAGGAAGTGCTGGGCACGCTGCAGGATCCTTGTGGCCTATTTGTGGCTATAAAGGGCTATACAGTAGCATTGATTGAAGAGGCTTTCTAAGCAAGCCCAGAATGATTTACTACTTTAAAGTCATCATAAGATATGCTGAAAATAACCAATTACCAAAATTACAAATGTATTGTGATCCCAAAGTGAAAAATAAATAGAAACTTCAAGAGATGACAGACTGCTGATGTAGAAGTCCAATGCCAACACACATTTTAAAGCAGGGATTTTAAATGTAATTTTCATTGGTGATCCAATAACAAGAAGAGAAGTGGAATGTCACACTTAATAACAAAAGCTGGCACATGGAGAAACTGCAAGTGCTGTATCCCCAACACAACAGCTGCTGACTATATTAAGAATTTATTTTCCCTGTGAGACTAGGGCAACCACCAGAGCTTATCTGTAACTAAGACAATTCTCAATTTTGTAGCACAACATCTATGAAAATTTAGCAATGCAACATGAATGTGTTCTTTCTGGCTGCTTGATATTTTTTGTTTGTTTTTTTTTTACACTCTCTGAACAAGGAACTTCTGTGTTTCATAATCAGTTATTCTTATGACGAAGTCCTCATGTTCTTATTCAGGGCTCAGGAACTGGATCCGCATATTAACTTCAAGAATGTGATGACCTGCTACTATGAGTGATGCAAGGTGGTACAGAAGCATGGATGCAAGGTGGTACAGAAGCATGGTACTTAGCAAGCATAGGCCAAAGATGGGTCATGGTCAGCCACAGTGACTCACAACTGAAAGATACTTTTTCTCCTGTGCCAGAAACAAGAATACTGCAACAGAAGAGAAATGTCTACCCCGGAACAAAGAGGGAGTGGTACGTGCAAACACAAAGCACAGCCATACTGCCTCACATCACAGGTATAGCTAGCTCTAGATCCAGTCTATGATAGCAGCCAAGAATGGATGTGTAGGGAGGAGATCCCATATAATCCTGGCATACACAGTTCCAACATTCAAAACTGGGAATAATCCCAGTCATAAGTGGCCAGCCCCCCACCTGCTTGAATGGCTGCTTTCTGACAACGCCTGGCTTGCTCTCTTGCTTTTCTTTCCAAAGTAAACCAAACTGCACCCCACAGGATGGGAAATTACCTCTCCAGAAGAAATCTTCACTGTCTGGCTTCTGCAGCTTAGTTCCCTCCTTTTCATAAGCATTGGAGTAAGAAGGAAAAGAAGGGTGAAACTGGTACTGGTGCCATTAAGGGATCCCTCACCAAGTGCCAGTCCTCCGCTGCACAAAGAAGGAAATGACTGAAGCACAGTTATTTATTACAGGACTTTGCTCCCAGTTCAGCGTATATGTAATTTCCAAGTCAGGTGTTCCAGTAAGCAGGCAGGCTAATTCTTGCCTGGGTGAACCTTAAACTTCAGTCTCTCTGCTGTGCCTGAATCCTTTCAGATTTTCAGAAAACACTGCCAGAAGAAAACCCTTTAGCATCCGGTCTTATGCTACTCCAACACCAATGACTTCCCTGGGGTTCTGTTGGAGTAATCCTGTTAGAAAAGAGGAAAATCAGGCCTTCCTTTCTCATCTCTACCCTTGGTTATGCACCACTCTTTCTGCAAGGTCAGAAAATGCACCTCAGTCTATGTCCTGTGTGGACTGTGTTTCACAGTACCTATAGCAGAAGGCAAAATAAGCTTATAACGCTTAACTGAAATTTGTAGGCACAGATGCATATAAAGGGACCATTTGTTTAAAACTTCCTGGTTTTCTTATAATTAATTTATCTTCCAAAAAACACTCTGTCCATGTGTTCCAGCATCTAGGTGCATGTTAACTCCCTGTCTGCCCACTTTTCTCTTTCCAAATTAGCATAGGATGGCCAAGAGGTTCCCTCTTTCTGGTTACTCCACATGCTCTCTCAGTAATCCTGTGTCCTTCTTGCCTGTCCTGTTCAATTCCAGCACTAGATGTGATGTCTACAGAAGTGTAGTGTATCTGTAGTGAGGCAGATACAGGATTGCTCCAGCCAGAACAAGGATCCAGGAGTCAGGCACATTTCAACCCTAACAGCAAGCCTAAACAGCGAGGACAAGCTTTCTTCCATCTAAATATATAACTGTATAACCTTCCTCCAGGGCACTGTACACAGCAAGTGGTTTGCCTCACTATGAATTATTCTGTACACCCATTATTAAACATGCAAATGAAAATGTGCAATGATTGTGAACATGCACCACTATTCCTAATATCTTAATTCTTATTTTCTTGTTTCCTAGGTTCAATGTAGCTGCATTGTATGACGGGAAAGACAACAAAAAGCCTCCATGTCTGAGACAGATTCTTGGGGCTCCTGGGGTTCCATATGCACATCAGAGGTAAGCATTCAAGCATAGCAATAGTTGGCAGCAATGTATGTTTATCCATGTCACATATTTGTGGTTTAATATCCGCTTCTTTAGCTGTTTTTGTTTAAGTTTTATAGCAGAAATGAAGATACAGGTGCAGAAATAGAGCATAGGCCCTTCAAGGCTCAGAGACTTTTAGAGGGAGGCAGGAAACCACAAGGCAGAGAGGAGAGCTTTCTTAAAGTTTCTAACTGTGCAAATCATTCTTACTCAAGGATTTTGCCTCAAAGTAGTTCTTTAGCAGACTTATTTGTGATACAACAGTTTTTAGAAGTCATCTATATGCTCTATGTGAATAACAAAATGTCAAGTACTGATCTTGTGAGATGAAGGTCAAATACTGACAAAGAATCAAAGTACATACCTCTATACTACCAAGGCAGATATCTAAAACTAAAAGTTTTTTTGTAACTAGACTGCAGGGAAAAGAAAGTGTCCTGCATATTTCTTCAGCAAATGAAACATACCTGCTGAAATTCCAAATAGAGTGAGTGCTGGGGCAGAGAATCTCGTTCTAAATTTTTTTTTAGCACTTGTGACCAAGATGCAGTGGGGTGCTATTTCAGAGAGAAATACAGTATTTCCATCCTAGTACAATATATAAACTGTATGAGATGGAATCGTGGGGAACTCGAGGCAGTCTGAAAGAAAAGCACGACTCATTGTGGCTGAAATATGTATTGGAAGGGAGATGGATTTCCACAGTTAAGTCTAGACATGCTCAAGAGCCAGAAAACATAAGATGTAGGAGTAGAGACTTGATATACCAAGTGTAAGCAGCCCAGATGCTTTGTAAAGCACGTGTAGCTAATGAGAGATGAGCAGGCGGCTTGCTAAGGCTTCTTCAGAGAAGTACCTGTGAGTGAACGGGGAGAGCTCAGGTTTGGGAAGTCACTGCGCCATGCGAATGGGGAAAGACAGGAGCTTGCCAAGAATGAGCAGCTCTGTTTACTGCTGAAGACGTAGTGAGGGACTGTGTAGGGCAAAGACAGACACATTTGTAGTTGTAATTGGGGGCAGTTTGTACTATGGTCTACATTGATGGAAAATGCACTGAGAAATGCAACAAATTAAAATTGGATAATCCCTGGTGAATTTAATCCTGCTGCTGTTCAGAGCAATAGGTCTGTCCAGATAGACATGTGTTAACAAAACTGCCTCTTCCTGACAGCTTCCTAATTAAGAGATTGATGTCAGGATCAAAGGGTTTAATTTGCACATGGCACTACCTCTCACATTTCCTCTCCAGTTAAATCAAAGTGGCCTTGTCATTTCTGCATCACCGAGTCCTAGATGCCAAGCATCATTTTATGTTAACCTATTTTTTTTTCCTGAGATTTCTGAAGGGAGGTGGATAGCATATAACAATTTGCAATTTAAGCTGTTCATTCAGAAGCTGTCCTGTCTACACTAACCTCCTTCCCTTCCTCTAAGCAGATTTGTAGCTTTAAGTCACTGATGTCTGTTAACTCTGAAAGGCATTCTGCAGGGAACAAAGCAAACTAAATAAGAAGTACCTACCAGTAAAGGATTTCCAAGTGCATCCCTTGGTTGTCTTGAGCATTCTGTCCCTCAGGGAAAGGCTTATTTCATTCCAGCCAGTTCATGATGTTGTAACAGAGAGGCAGACTGGTTGGGGCTCTGGGATCTGTGTCATTACACACCTTCACACACGCCGAGTGGGCGCTGCTTACTCTGCTTGCTAGAAGGCAGGTCATTCTCCCCCACTGTGCAATCCCATTATGGACTGAGTGTCACTCCATCCTTCCTTTTGGGATGCAGCCAAGATGGTATTACAAGGGTACATTACAGGCCGGTAAGTGCCAAGTTCTGGCTCATGAGGGACAAAGACACGTGCACGCAAGCGTGCACACTTGTGCACGCACACGCGCTACCTGCAGAATAGCTATCCGAATTGATGCCCAATTATTCAGCATTGCTGAGGTGAGGTTGTTTAAGGTGCACCCTCTGCTGTGTGGTGCACGTGGGATGTCACAACACTAGGCTTGGGGTTAGGAGGTTTCATTTCAAAAAGATGGGATTTCATAACTGTTAGGAGGGAACCTCTATGCCTCCTTCCACTTTCAGTAAATGCAGAAATTCTTTGTTCTCTTGTCAATGCAGCCTCAGTGCAGCTGGAACTTGGGACAGTGGCTTGCCATCACAGCAGAACATGACACATATCTATAAATTACTAATTTCCAAGGAAGGCTACAATCATACTCCTGCTTGGAACTTTAGTACGTGACTTCTGTGTTTTCTAGGCACCTTGGTACAATTTCCAGTTACCTTTGTATACTTTATTCGATCTCCTTTTTTTCGTTACTTTCTATTTATGTTTCCCCTTGTCCATTATCTTCTGTTACATTAGTCCCAACTTGTTATTTCCTACCTTGGTGCTTTGTCTGCTGAGAATTTTATTTGTTGTATTGTAACGAGTCACATTGAAGTTGTCATACTGCCTTCTATTTAGTCAGTTGTAAAAAGCCATTAAATTTCTTCATGGAAGTCAGATAAGTGAAACACCAGGAGCCTCCCATCATGTACTGGCCCATGTGCCTGCTCCTTCCAGAAAAGATCCGAGTGAAACCACACAGTACAAACGGCTAAAGGCAGTAACGTCATGTAGGAGCAGGAAAACAGGACACGATACCATTAAGTGCGTGGTCCTGAGGATCACTAGGAGACCTTTAGGGCTATCTGGAAAAGGCCTATACAGCTGTAAACAGACATTCTCTGTATGTTTTATGTATGCTGCTTTCAGGGAAGAAAAAAGGGGTTTTCTGCATTTTTGATGATAATATGGGATTGTATCCAAGAAACATCTGACTCCACTGCCAATTTCTCCTTCTAAGTGAAACACTGCAGAAGATGTTGAGTAAAAACTCAATTCAGAGAGTTCAGCCGTATTTAACATGGTACACTGAACCCCCTGCATTATAACTGTGCTTGCTGCTGGAGTGTTGTAGTTAATAATGGCTTAACCTCTCTGCCATCCATTCTAAAGTGCCTCTAGCACAGAAAAAGTAATGATTCATTTTGCCCAGAGCTCTTGACTTTAACTAAATTTTGATGTCCCTGAAAAAGAGTGTAGCAAGGATTATAAAAATCCCTGTTGTTTAGAAATATCCCAAATAAACCTTGACAGTTTTCTATTTGTCACACATTAACCTGTGCCCTCTTAGAACATGAAGGTGTTTTGTTTGCCACAGAAGGAGAGAGGCAGGAGACCAGCACCGCATGCATTTATTAGGCTTTCCATTTTAAAATGATGCATCAGTGACAGAAGTCATCCCTTATAATCGTCTACTGACATATCGTAGGCGTGCCAAATAAATTGAATAATGCAACTGCTCAGAGGATAGTGGTTACTAAAACAGAACACAACAATTCCTGAAAAAGACAGGGATTGTCCTGCCCCTGTGTTTACTCCGGAAGTCAGCAATTACAGGAGAGTTCAGGGCTAACTTTCGGTTGATTCTGAAGGCTAAATCTGGAGGAACCACCCACACATGAACTAGATTGAACCGCAGCTTCAGCTAGGACAGTCAGACCTAAATTCTTTGAGATGACTAGTCCTCAGTTTCCACTGCTAGCCTCGGGTCCCCTCGGTGGCCAGCAGCACTGTAAAAACTGTTGGCTCCGATCGCCGCATCCGAAGCTGGCACCTCGACTCTGGTTTTGCTCTGGTCCCTTCTTGTAGAGATTCACATTAATTCTTGCTCACTTGCAGGGAGCAGATAAATTCACCTATTACGTAAATGATAAAATCTTTTCTATTCAAGGCAGCAGACGAAACTTTCGATCTCCCATCCTTTACCAGTACTGGAACCATTTTTACCAGATGTGCCTTTGAGTGGCTGAAGGGAGATGCTGGCTAACTCTTGTGGAGTTCCGGGCTGTGGGTTTAAGCACTCGTCTAACATCTTCCAGGCTTTAGTGTCTTGGAGGTTCCCACACGGCTCATACAAGGAAACCTCTTCATTAAAATAACAACCATTTTACACTTCTGTACAGCTGTTTGTTTCCCATGTTGATGCCAGGGCTCAAAATAGCCTTTTTTTCTGAAAGGCTCCTTCAGTTTCCCCAGCATATCAGTTACGAAGCTAAAATCAAAGTATTTTCTAGAAAAAAAAATGAAAAAAAAATGTTTAGGGAGAGGAAAAAAAAACCCCACAACGTTTTCTAGGTTGTGGCAGTTAAGCCAGACCCTGTTTGCAAGCAATGACCAGTCCCAGCGTCCCGTCGCTAACATCTGAGCT